GGGTCCTTGGAGAGGGACATCATGCTTGGGAGGGTGGAGGGACAGCGCAGGAGGGGAAGACCCTCTATGAGATGGATTGATTCGGTGACTGGGGTAATTGGGATGGGTGTGTCAGTGGCTGTGCGGTTGGCGCAGGATAGATCAGGGTTTAGAGCTGTTGTGCATAGGGTCGCTATGAGTCGGAAACGACTCCATGGCACATAACAACAACAACAACAGTAACTTGTCCAAAGTATGTGAGTCAAAACCTCATCATCTTTGCCTCCAAGGAGCATTCTGGCTGCACCCTCTCCAAGACATAGCTGTACTTTTGGCAGTCCACAGGATATTCAGAACTCTTCTCCAACACCACAATTCAAAAGTTTCAATTCTTTTTCTGTCATCTTTGTTCATTATCCAGCTCTCAGATCTATGGCAAGTGGTTGAGAAGATCAGGACTTGATCCAGGAGCACCTTAGTCCTCAGACTGACATCATTGTTCCTCAATAAATTGGAGAGGTCCTCGACTACAGACTTTCACAGTGCAGTACACCTCCCAATCTCCTGACTGCTGGTTCCAAGTGCATGGATTTGGGGTCCATGAAAGATGGAGTTGCTGACAGTTTCAACCCTTCTTCCCTCTATCATGATGTTGCCTATCACACCAGTGTCGAGGATTTTTGTTTTTTGATGTTGAGATGCAATCCATATTGAGCCTGCCATCTTTGATATTCTGCAGCAAGTACTTCAAGTTCTCCTCACCTTCAGCAAGCAGTGGCATATAATAGATGCTTCATAAACTTTGGAAGGATTAATACATGAATTGGAAGAAATTAAGTTCAGCCGAGGTAAAAAAATAAAAGAAAAGAGAGCAGGAAGCAAGAAAGGATGACTATATCAGCAACTGTCAGAGGGGACATTTGAGTATCAAAATATACTTTAGAAGGAATCATAGAGTTAAAATACATCATGTAGTCTAGTTCACTTTCATAGTAAAAAAAATCAGTCAAATTCTCCATTGTTTTCAGGGTATTAGTAAGGTTTGGGAATGTAGATTGACATTAACTCAGTCATGTCTGAATTCTCAGGAATGCAGGGCTCAAGAAACAGGAGCCTCCAGTCTCTGTGGCAGAAGGGACCAGCGGCCTCAGCAGAGGGACCCCAGCCTCTGAACCTGCCTTCTGGCCCCCACTGTGCCATTCCAGGCAGACCCACATCCTGTACCATCTCCTGGCCCCTCCATGGTTCATTCCTCCTATCTTCCCACAAAGGAGCCCACAGGTGTGGTTTTGTGGATGAAAGGCTCAGAGAATGGGACTCTAGTGTTCTTGTGCAGACTGGGGAAAGATCATGGTGCCAGTGACGGGTGGGCTGGTGGTTAGCCTGGGACAGGAGGAGGGTCAGCATGGAGCCAGTGATAACCTAAGACCCTCTTGAATGTGGAATTGGGGATAAAACCAAGGTCAGGATTCATAATAGATTTTAAAAATTTATATAATTCATTTTATTTCCATTATGTTCATATATATTGTGGATTTCTCCCTCCCCGTTTCAATCATCTTACTAATAAATTCCTTTTATGAAAGCAGTTAAGCTATCTACTTCATGCCTAGGATTCATAATCAATTTTTCTTATTTATTATCTTAGGGACTTAGGGACACAGAATTGGGCTTAACAGGGTCTTGGTTCATGATACTCTCATTCCTATTTGCTGATGAATAACTCATGTAAGAACAGCCGTGAGCCCACCAGCTGCCCCCAAGAACTAGGACATTACAAATCTTACATGTGCTCCTGGCATCTCTGCCTCCCACTTCCCCTCAGAGGTAATCGCAGTCCTCGTTCTTTATCTGTGCATTCCTTCGCTCACACTCTCCTTCCCACCATACGTAATCTCTTCCCCTTGAACATAAGCTGGCCTTAAGTGACTTGCTTCTAACAAATGCTGTTGTCAGGTGATGACAAGTCGAGGATGACTCATGGTGACTTAATGAATGCCAGATCTGAATCCTGTCCTGTCCTGTGCCATCCTCCCAGTCTCTGACACACTTGAGCCCATTGCCACAGTCACTGTGCCATTCCATCCGATCGAAGGGTCTACCTCTCTTTCACTATCTCTCTGCCTTTCCAAGCATTATGTTCCTTTGCAATGAATAGCCTCTCCTTGCAAGGTGCCCAAAGTTTGCAAGGTGAAGTCTAACAAATAGAATATGGTAAAGTAAGGGGATGTCACATCCATGACTATCACAGAAGGTTGTAGTTGTGTCCCTCTTGCTGGTTTTGATGAGCTAAGTCACCACGCTGGAGATAACTTCATGACAAGGAACAAGGGCAGTCACAGACCAACAGCCAGTGAGAAACTAGGGCCAAGAGTCCTACAGTCCACAAGGAATTGTACTCTGCCAACACCTGAGTGAATGAGAAGTAGCTCCTTTCCCACTTGAGTTGTTAAATGAGGCAACCTTGTCAGAAGTCCTGAAGCAGAGGACTCAGTTGAGCCAGGCCAGGGCTCTTGGTCCAAATAAAATATGAGATCATAAAAGAGTGTTCTTTAAGCCATGAAATGTGTTACAAAGTAACAGACAATAGAGGATCTTTTTCATTCTTTTGTTATTACAAACACTGTTGCTATGAACATTCCAGTTTCCCTGAACACAAAAGCTTAGGTTTCCCCTGGGTGTATGCCTAGGAACTTCTGGGTCTCAAGATTCATGGGTGTTCAACATGACTGGTAGCCGGTAAACAATCAGAGCTAAGGTCACCCCAGGGCCATGGTGCCTTTGGTCAGGTTGGAAGTTAAAGTTGACCTCAGTCCATAGAACTTGGGATAGACTAGTCGACCAGAAGGGCTGAAAATCACACACAGGGCGAGTCAGGGGTCAGTCCTTAAGCAAGACTAAAGGTGAGTATGGGGACAGTGGAGAAATGGCGAAACCTTCATTTTGGGATTGAGATTGGACAGAGTTGGAGGTCACTGTGAGGGTGGGTTAGATGTCAAGTGTCAGAATGCACAAAGCTTGATCCCAAATGATACCATCAACCAATAGGCAGCAGGGGGCAGTGTCCAATTACCCAACAAGTGAGGCTCACCCTGAGGTTACTCCTAAGGCTCTTCCTCTGAGGGTTGTTGTTGTTGTTGTTATATGCCGTCGAGTCACTTGTGACTCATAGCAACCCTATGTATAACAGCCCTAAACTCTGCTCTGTCCTGTGCCAATCGCACTGTCTCTGACACTCCCATCCCGATTATCCCAGACACTGAATCAATCCACCTCATAGAGGGCCTTCCCCTCCTGCACTGTCCCTCCACCCTCCCAAGCATGATGTCCTTCTCCAAGGACCAGTCTCTCCTCACAACATGTCCAAAGTATGTTAGACGGAGCCTCAGAATCCTTGCCTCCAAGGAGCCACCCGGTTTAACCCTTTCCAGGACAAATCTGTTTGTTTTCCTAGCAGTCCATGGTATTCTCAATACTCTTCTCCAGCACCACAGCTCAAAGGCATCAATTCTCCTTCTATCCTCCCTGGTCATTGTCCAGCTCTCTGATGCATAACAAGTGATCGCGGTAGGGGGCATAAAAAGAAGAGGATGGTACAGCCCGTAGGGATTCTAGCAGAGAGAAAAGGGCACCAAAGGAAAGTAAACCACCACCTTTAATAGAGAGCTTAGCCCCACACCCCACGATACTGCCAAGGGTGTCCCCACAGGTGATGGGCACAGGCACAGCCACCCCTTACCCACCCCTGGGGCCCCCACTCTTCCTCTCCAGCTGCTGTGGTCTCTGGCAGGGAGTCTGCTACCGAGTGAGCGACAGGGGCTGTTTCTCCCATGGCTGAGAGCTCAAGAAGCCAGGTTGGATGGAGACACTGCCATCCTCAGAGTCAAGCAGGGATGCAGTTTCTGGGGCTGAGACCCAAATCGGAGGGCTGCTTTCCCAGGCCCAGCACCGGGAGGACCAGAGCCCGGTTCTGCACGTCCTCTGGTACTCCTTTGTGGGGGACGCTGGATCTCTGACCATGGCCTCCTGCCTCCGGAACGTGGTCTGTTCTCCTGACCCAGATTGAGTGGAAGGAGGCGACTCAGTCCAGGCACACAGCTCCAGAGGTTTCTATCCGGCCACCCCCTTCTTCTCATCACCACCCCAAGGGAGGGGGCTCTTGCACTCAAGACGCTGGTCCAAAGGGCTAGCTCTGCCCGCCCAGCCGGACATCCGCTGGTGGGTGGGTGAGTCTCGGTGTTTGGGCTCCGCAGGGTCCCCAGGTGCTGGAACTCGGCCATTTGTCGCTCACCGCTGCTTCCGCTGCGCTTGCTGGAGCCTCCGGGAAAGGTCATCGATGCGCACGTTCTTGAGCTGGAGCAGGTGCTCCAGGCGCCTCACCTTCATCTGCAGGACCTGGGCGGAGGGCTCAGATCAGAGATCAGCCTTGCTGCCCTGCCCGTCCCCCTCTGCTGACCCCGCCCCATTCCCACCCCTCCTACCTGCCATCCCCACGCCCTCACCTGCACCGTCTCCTGCGTGGCCAACAGCTCCTGCTCCTTTTCAGCGATCTGAAGGACGAAGCTTGGGTCACCCTGCAGTGTTTGGCTATATCCAGGAGGCCGGGGGGCAGGCAGTCGGCCCCCCCTGGGGCGGGGTCAAGTAGAAAGCAGCTCAGAGGAGGCCTGACCCTCGGCCTCTCCCTCACCCTTCGAGTGTCCTCGGCCACTGGCCCTCTCTCCACTTCCCCACCTTCCTTCGTCTCCCAGCCACAGCACCCTCCCACACCACCACACGACCACCAGGCCTGGCGAGGTTGAGACGTCCCAGCAGCCCCTTACTTGAGTGGTTTTCCTCCCGGCGGCTCCGGGGCACCTTCTCCTTGGGCCTTCTGGGACAAACCTGAGACAAGGAACGTGGAGGAGTAACGAGGCTGTCCTCCTTTTCTCACCTCTTTCAAAAGTGAAGAAGGAAGGACAGGAGGAGAGGGAAGCTACCTACCCACATCCATGTAGCCGCTGCCATCCTGGGAAGTCAGCTCCTGGGGGAAAAGCCGGGGTCCACTGTGAGCTCATGGTCCTCTAATCCCAAAGAGCCCTCTGCCCGCTGTGGCTCCCCATGCCAGGCTCGCTTGTCACCAAGGCAGTGCTGCCCACGGCCTGCTACAGGGGGCCTGCTACAGGGGGCCTGCTACAGGGGGCCTGCTACAGGGGGCCTGCTACAGGGGGCCTGCTACAGGGGTCGGGGTGATACCTGTAAGGAGCCCAAGCCCTGCTTTCTGCGCTTCTGCCGCTCCTCCAAGCGCTGCCGCAGCGGGATGAGCACCAGCTCCACCACGCCCGGCACGCACTGCGCGATCTTGCGCATCACGTCCTCCGGGACTGAGAAGTTCAGCTTATTCAGCACTTTCCTGGGGGTTAGACATGGGAGACAGTGGACTGAGTCCTGGGGTAAAGAAGGGAAGGGCTGCCTGGGAGAGCGTAGGAACATCTATCCTAGCTGTCCTGCTTGAACATCCCAAGGGTCCGTATTGCTCACCAGTGGAAGGCAATCTCGATTTTTTTAAAAAATTCGAAAAAAAAAAAAAGAAAAAGAAAAAAAATTCGTATTTTTTTGTGCATGTACCGTCAAATCAGATCTCACTGGTACAAGAGGAGATTGTCCCTCCTTCTCCAGCAGAGCATCTGGTGGATTTGAACCACACACCTCTGGGATTGCAGTGCAGCTTCTTACCACTAGACCACCAGAGCTCCCTAACCTCAATTTTGTTAACACACTGATTCTGTCAGTGTTGGCCCTCCTCAAATTGTCACTGACACCCCACCTCTGACCAGGCCATAGGACACTGAGCTAGGGAAGCCCTTCTTGGGGAGGGAGGTAGGGACTGGAGAGTATCACCCGAATCTGGGCATTCCACTACCTACCTATTCAGGTGTCCCCAGTTGCTGAGCTTCTGGTGGAAAGAGTTGGCCGGGACGTAATTATGCATCTCTACCATCTTGGGAAAGTAAAACTTGACAACTTCTGCAACCAGGACTGAGGGAGTGAGGGTTGGGTAGACAAGGTGTAAGGAGAGGGTGGTGATGATGGAGAAGGGAGAGGGGGTGAAGGACGGATAGAATAGGAAAGCCAGGCGTGGCGGTATTGAGGGGTCAAGTGGAAAGTTGGAGATGTGGAAAACAGAAGGATAGCAGGGATGGAAGGAGGGAGACAGAGGAGGAGGAGAGGGTAGGAAACAAAAAACCAGTGGTCAGGGAGAACAGGTGGAGCGTCAGGCACACCCCAGGGAGGCTGCATGCTTTCCTCATTAACTCAAGGTCTGGGGAAGCTGTTTTCTGGTCATCTAGCAGAGAATGAGTCTTCAAAGGAGCCTCTTAGGATCCTGAGAGTCCAACCAGGACATTCACCCAGATATGTACACACATGTATGCCTGCACACACTTTCCCCCTCCACACACTCCATAACCAGTCTAAGACTCACGTGACAGGACCTTCCTGCAGATAGACACACAGGTCAGATATGCAGACACAAGATGGACACACACATGTCCCCTTACACACATATGCAAGCATGAAGCATCACACATGGTCATAAACCCATTGCCATTGAGTCTATTCTGATCCACAGGGACTGGACAGGACAGAATGGAACTGTCTCAGAGAGTTCCTAAGACTGGAATCTTTACAGAAGCAGAGCTTTCACCAGAGGAGTGACTGGTGAGTTTGAACTCCTGACCTTTTGGTTAGTAGGTTGTACACTTAACCACTGTGTCACGACAATTCCCACCACAATATGCATAGCCTCTCTAAGCAACTATACACGAAGATACACGTCATTGAAATTCTAAAAGACAGTCACACACACATACAATCACAAAGAAACATGCACATATGTGTATATAGGACAGAACATGCCAACCACATCTGAACACACGTGTAGACATATCACACAAGACATATAACATACATTCAGCCTTGTGTGTGCGCACACATAGGTGTGCAAATGCATACAAGCACCACATATTTTAATTATAAAAATCTTGGGAAGGAATTGCAGACTCACACACTCAGAGGCATATATGTTCACATATGCACAGATGAATGCAAGATAGAACATGCCTAAATGCATGTGTCCAAATTCCCACAGCTGTACATAGAACACACGAACACACACACACACCCCTTTACAACTTAAGTCCCAGAAGGCAATCGGATCTCCTTCCCCCCTCGAAGCACAAGAGACGTGCATGCACCCGGACCCCTTACACACGTACATACAAGACATACACAGCGTGCACATGCACAGGGGCGCACACACCTCCGTCACTGAAGTCCCGGGTAAGGTTTCTCTTGGGCCGGGACAGAGGGATGCTGTCTACCCACAGGTACAACTGGTGCAGGGTCTCCTCGTCCACACTCCCCGCCATTGGCGCCCCGGCGAAGCCAGGCTGCTCCAGCTGTGCAGTGGCCAGCCTCAGCCTCACGACCCTCCGGGCGCTGCTTCTTCAGTCGCTGCCAGCGCCCAGTCAGCCCAGGCACCGAGACAGGAGTCCCAGCTGGGCGCGGCCATATTGTTTTATGAAACCATAGCAACCGCCCGACTCACCAGGGAGCAGGGGCTTCTGGGAGTTGCAGTTTTCCAGCGGCTGCTTCCTCGCACGGCCCAGCCTTGCAAAGGTGGTTAAGGGTTCTTAACCTCCACGCTTTCCCACGAAAGCACCACCTCTGGGCTCAAGCCACCAGCTGGGCAGCTACTGGGCCACTCTGCGACCTGCCAGAACCTACAAGGCCCCGAGAACCTCGGAGCTGGCTAGGGCTCAGCTACCCCTTCTCGACTCTCAACCAGTCTCACATCCCGATGTTTATAAGCTCTTCCTGGGGTCTGCTGTTTATAATCTGTTGCCCATCCGGGCTGTGTGATAATGCCTTCCCGCTGGGTCTCCAAAGGCAATCCATACGACTGTCATCACCTCCCTCCCAGCAGCATCTCTTAATACATCATTTAATGCATCAGACTTCCTGAGAGAAGGCTAGTTCCTGGGGTGTCACTGGGAGAGCTCTTCACCTATTTGTCCCAATGAAGTAAAAGAGGTTTATATACTAGAAAAGTTTTCAGCATTTTACAGAGAACTTGGATTTGTGTAGGGAATGGAAATGTGCTAAGGGTTGAGGTACTACAGGAACTCCTTGTACAGAAGTCCACATCCTTCATCATTCTCTTAAGGGTCGTTCTTCCTGCATTTGAAACTTCTTGGAATTATCTGGGATCCATTAGTTCCATTTCAAAATCACACTAAACTGAATATTAGAAATAAGGTCCTCTCGGTGAAGAAAGGGTACAGAGCTGTGTCAAAAGAACACAACGGCCAGTTTGTGGGGAAAACTTGCTCAGCTGTGTGGCTTTGGGCCCAATATAGCACCTCTCCATGTCTGTTTTATCTGCTTTACAAGACTCTGCGACTGAATCCATCTAAAATGCTCAATGTCTCCTTTGGCACACAGATAATGTTCTTATAACTTCAATTGGCATTATCATTGAGATCATTTTGGTTCTAGCAAAGGAGACATTGCTGTTGGCAGTAGACAAATGGTGTTGACTTGCCGGCATTTGAGGGATGCACCTAGGTTTGAGTAGACCCCTGCTCCCATCTACTGACCACAGGGCTGCTCAGAGGGGTGGGCTAGGGCTGCATTATGGCTCCTTCATCTGCTTCCTCATAGCTGGTGACAGTTCAGGGAATCTCAGTTGCTCTTCAAGTTGTGTAGTTTTGAAGCCTCAAGGGCCTGAAGAGGGGATGGTCATCCAACTTGCTTGTATAGTAACATGCTTTTCTAAAAGGGAACACATTCAGGGCTGGCAAGGGACAAAAGATGACCTAGATATCCCTTCCCTTCCTCCCTTTCACATTCCAGGGTAGGGAGAGGAGACTGGGGGGGGGGGGGGGGGCACAATGTGCCAGCCCTAGTTGAGGTGGGAAAACCGGTTTGGGGCCCAGCTTCCTGTTCTGACCAGGCCCTCTAGTAGTTGGAATCACTGGACTTTAAAAGATGGGAGGAGCTGGGTCTCAGAGGCAGAGGTGGACAGCAGACGGGTCAGGTTAGCAGAGAAGTCAGTCTTCTCCTTGGGACTGACCAGGCCTCAACGCCATCACACAGGGAGTTATCAGCTCAGTGTGAGTCTCTTGGGGTGGAGGCTATCCCCTGCAATGTCACAGGCCAGCATTTTCACTTTCCTCCTGTCACTGTTCCCAAGGATGGCCAGCAGACTTGGAGATGCCATCACAGGAAGGCCTAAAAAAGCTTCCTGTTAAGGCTCTAAAGGCAAACACTGCTCCAAGCTCCAGCAGCTGGAGCACCCCCTTTTCTGTCCTGATTTCCTCCTGTGAGGGTCATCTGGTGGTTCTAGACTCCAGTTCACAGTTTGATTTAAATCAACAAGGACTGTTAATACCTTGCCTTCCATCTGGTCACTGCCAAGTGTGACCTGACCAACATGGTGAAAACCAACCTCAGCGCCCTAAATATTTAGAGGTGGTTTTGTGAGCTCACCCTGCCTCTTGCCCTGGCCAGGATCTAGGAATTGTCTTCCAACATCTCACCACAGCGGGCGCTAGAGGGAACCAGGAAAGGTCATGCCCCCAACCCCCAACACAGACGCAAGCCCAGACCATGAAGGATGCACCCTTGGCTGTCAAAATGTTCACCCCCACAAAAGCGGGGTGAACAGATTTATTGAAATCAAACTGGGAAAGGAGCAAGTGAAGGCCAGACTCTGGGCCCCGTCGCAGGCCACTCTGCTCAGGATAGGACCCTGCCAGAAACGGGTGAGATATGGGGCCTGCAGCTGCCCACTTGGGAAGTACCCATTATCACTCCCTTGAAGGGCCTCTTGGGACTCTCCAATCTGGAAAGGAAACCAGAGGCTAAAAAGTGGATTGAGCCAGGAAAGAGGATTAGGGAGGAGGGAAAGCAGATAGAAGCAGGCTTGGGAGCCTGCAGTGAGTTAGAAGTGTGCTTCTCAAGGTGGCCCCAGGGTTGGAGCAGGACAACCAGCCTTGCAGTGGGGGGGCCCAGGCTGGACTTTGCTCTGGGAGCCCTTCCCAGAATGGCTTTGGGGGGGTCCCCTCCCGCCAAGGACCTGGTGTGGATGGCAGAGGGGACAGGCACTCTCTGGCCTGGAGCTGGCAGGGCCTCTCCCTGGCCGCTCTGGTCTAGTCCGCTGATGGCATGGTGTGGTAGCACCGGACAGCTCCCTGCCCACTTCACCTGGTCCCCCAGGCCCAGGGGCAGAGGAGAGGGAAGATTCTGACAAAGAGGCAGCGAACAGGCAGTGAGACTGACAGCTCACCTTGGGTCCTACCCAAGTGATCGGGTTGGGGAAGCGAGACTAAAGGATTTGGGGCTCTCCAACCTGTCTGCATCTATAGCAGCTGCTCTCTCAGTGCACACTGCCACATCTGGATTGGGGGTACGGCTACACCTGATGGCTCAGCTCTGATGCCCAAAACCCCACACTCCCACCTGCCTGGCATGATTCTTCTTGGTCACGTGGACCAGATCATGTTCCAAGTGGAGGATGTGGCTCTGTACCCGGTCATCGATGGGGAAGGACGTCAGGTACCTCTTGACCATGGCAAAGTAAGCCATGGCCTCCCCAAAGCTGGGCACGGGCACCTCATCATCATCCTCATCTTCATCCTCATCCTCCTCGTCCTCATCATCCTCACTGTCTGACTCGGAGTCTTCCTCACCTTCCAGGAAATGAAATGTAGGGCACTGCATCTCCTCCTGGGCACCGTAGCCCCCAAAGCTGCCACCTGCCTCCACCATTCCCTGGGCCCAGTCCTCGGCATCCAAGCCATCAGAGGAGCTTTCTTCCTCTTCCTCCTCCTCCTCCTCTTCATCACTGTCCTCAACATCACCCTCCTCCTCCACCTCTTCTTCCTCCCCCAACTCCTCACCTTCCCCTCCCTCCTCCTCTTCCTCACCTTCCTCCTGGCCTTCCCCTTCCCCTTCCTCCCCCTCTTCCCCGCCTTCCTCCTCCTCCTCTTCTTCTTCCTCCTCCTCCTCCTCCTCCTCCTCTTCTTCCTCCCCCTCGCTCTTGAGGGCAGTAGTGATGGTGGCATCAGGGTCACCCCCAAAGCCCGCCTCGCGAAAGCATGTGGCAATGTCTGAAGGTTGGACGGCTTGCCAGGCTGCAGCCACGTAGTGTAAGGCCTCCATGAGGCCTAGCTGCAGTTGAGAGGGGTCCTGGCTCTCCAGCGCGGCCATGGCCTTGAGCAGCATGGCCTGGCGGTAATGGCCCTTCACCTGTTGGACCACGCCCCGCTCCAGCGGCTGCACAGTGCCCGAGGGGAAGAAGGCCAGCTGCACATGCCGCAGACCTGAAGTGTCCAGGGACTGCGCGGCTACGCGGCCGGCCAGTAGCAAGACACGGCGAGACTCAGTGGCCATGCGGGCGTCCAAGGCCTTCAGGTACTTGGCCAGCACCTGGCTGGTGACACCACCCTTAGAGTTGGCAGTGTAGTCGCAGGGCAGGCCACCCTGGCCCGCACGAGGCTTGGCCGACTTGCCCGCCACCAGCGGGGGCAGCTTCTCACTGCCATCCGCGTTGGCGCACAGCAGGACACTAAGGCGCTGGGTGGCCCTCCGCTCCCGGCCATCGCTGCCGCACAGTCCAGCGGCCTGGTCGGGCAGAAAGTCGTACCACAGGCTGGTCTCGATGGCGCTGAACACGTCCTGCGAGGCATAGCCCTCGACAACTGACGGCTGCTGCTCCTCCCAAACGTGCAGGCCGGTGCCCTCGCCACTGCCCTCGGAGGGCACCGGGGCCTGGCTGGTGGGCGCTGCTGGGCGCCGGGGCGCAGAGCTGCGCGCCCGGGGGCGGGGTACGCCGCTGCAGGACATCACTCCGTGGCGCCGGCGGAAGCGGTCCAGCCAGCCATTGGAAGCGGTGAAGTCGTCCATGCCCAACTCCTCGGCTATGCGCAGCGCCTTCTCCTTGAGGAAGATGCCCTTGACGGGCAGGCCGGCGGCGCGGATCTGCTGGAACCAGGCAATGAGCAGCCCCTCGAGCTTGTCGTAGGGCGACAGCTTGTTGGTCTTGCGGCAGGTGGAGGCCACACCGTACTTGCGCTCCGACGCCAGGATGGCGCGCTTGTTCTTCAGGATCGTGCTGAGCGTGGACGGCGGGATGTTGAAGCGCCGCGCGATCTCGCCCTTGCGCAGGTCCGGGTTCTCTTCCACCTCCTGGATGATCCGCGACTTCTCCCGGA